CAGAAACATCATTTGTCTTTATTGGTGGTGTGGGGGGGCCCCCCTGGGGGGCCCCCAAGGGGCCCCCCAGCCTACTGGGGGCCCCCCAGGGGCCCCTCGAGGCCCCAATGAGGAAAATGTTTGTCTTGAGGAAATTCTTCTTTTATTATTTCCGTGTTTGTCTACAAAGTGTAGTATACACACATGAGCAGCAGCAGCAGCAGCAGCAGCAGCAGCAGCAGCAGAAGTAGCAGCAGTAGTAGTAGCAGCAGGGACTGTGATAGTAGCAGCAGCAGCAGCAACAGTAGCAGCAGCAGGAACAGTAGTAGCAGCAATAGCAGCAGGAACAGCAGCAGCAGCAGCAATTACAGCAGCAGTAGTGACAGTAACAACATCAGCAACAGCAGCAGCAGCAGCAGCAGCATGCAGCCCCAGAGACAGCAGCAGAAACAAGACAACAATTAATATTAAGGTTCAGCTTAGGGGCCCCCAAGCAACCGCACAAGAAACCCTGGGGGCCCCTGGGGGCCCCCTAGAGGGTTTAGTATTCACCTCTGCATCAGGGGACCCCCAATAAGTCTCCTGGGGGCCCCCCTGTTATACTGTTGGGGGCCCCCCTATTATGGCTACTGGGGGCCCCCCTGTTATACCTCCACGGGGGCCCCCTATAACGCAACCTAGGGGGCCCCCTATCACGCAACCTAGGGGGCCCCCTGTTGTGCTGTTGGGGCCCCCCTTATACACTATGATGAGGAAAAGAACAAGAGCAGCAACAACTGCCAGGGGCCCCCTTATACTGCTCACAGGGGCCCCCCTATAGACGTTATAGGGGCCCCCATAGAGAGGATATAGGGGCCCCCTTATAGAGGTTATAGGGGCCCCCCTATAGAGGTGTTGGGGGCCCCCCTATAGGGCTTATAGGGGCCCCCCTATAGAGGTGTTGGGGGCCCCCCTAGAGAGGTGCTGGGGGCCCCCCTATACAGCTCATAGGGGGCCCCCTTACAGAGGTGTTAATAACCCCCTTCTATATGGCTGAGGCATTTGTATGGGGGGCCCCCCTGCTTTAGTACCCTTTGGGGGCCCCCGTGTTGTTTGTTTGTTTGTTGGTTTGTTTGTGGTTTGTTTATAAATATAATAAAAATAAGAAAGTAAATAATTATGTTTACAATTAATTTATTTATTATATTTTATATTTATATAAAAAATATAAAAATAAAATATAATTATATTTATTTCATTTTATTATATCAATATATACAATAAAATATTTATCTTCTTCCTTTTCTTCTTCTTCCCTTTCCTTGTTGCTGCTGCCTCTGCTGCTGCTGCTGCTGCTCCTTCTCCCCCTCCCCCTCCCCCTGCTGCTGCTGCTGCTGCTGCTGCTGCTGCTGCTGCTTGTGGGGCCCCTCCTCTGCGTCAGCTAGACAGAGAAGGTGGGGGTCGTTGTGTATAAAGGGTTTACGCATATCTAGCGCATCCTCTTCTCCCGCGTAGTATCCTTTTTGTGTTTTATATAGAACATAACCTCTT